CTTTTAGATCAAAGCATCAAAATTGTGTTTGATCCAAAACAGCCATGTAGTGCCAGCATTTACATCTGAAGTCAACCTATTTATAATCACAGTTGGTTTTTTTTTAATGTCTGATTTTCTTTTTGTCCCTATGATGCATAGACGGTTAGTGATAGTACAACTCTGAGAGGAGCAGCTCGGCTTGGTTTTGGAAGTAGTCTTCTTTACTAATACAGGGCATTCAAAATACAAACACCACAGCTGGTCAATCAGGAAAACAGCATTGTGAACGTCAGGGCTTTGAGGGTACAAATTAGGGAATTAGTTTTTCCCCTAACAGAAGTATATTCACTAAGTAATTTGCTTTCTTTTAACTAGAGTTACCCCTTCCATTAACTGGAGAAGTAAGTCCAAATTAAAACTGCTATTCATCAATTACCGCTGGAGGCACGCTCAAACCTTGTGTTAGGACCACGGCAATAAAACTCATCAATTGCAATTTTCATCATTGTTATCTCAGAGCTCTCAAAAGGAATAATTTGGGAAAGGGAAGAAACTGGGAACTGCTAGTAATTGCTGACATGATGGCAAATATTTCTGAGGCTTTTTCATTCATTAAAGCATTAAATTTTTCAGTGGATTTTAATTTTGTCCTTGTTCAGTGAATCCTTGCTAAGCACTGCAGATACAGCGGCAAATATGATGGCATAGTCCCTATCTTCAAACAGATTATGTTCTAGAAAGAAGAGAATACATGGGAAATCATAATTACAAATCATGATGTGCACTTACAGGAAGGGCACAGGGTCTGAGAAAGAATAATGGGGAGATGCGAGTCCAGCTGGAGAGTCTGGGATCTCTTCCTTAAGGAGGTGACATTTCAGCTTCAACACAAAGGGTGACGGTCATGCACACTCCTCATAATACTCAACCCTCAAAGAGTATTTCATTAGTGATGCTCTTTCCTGATCTTCCTTCTATCTCCCCAGCCGTTCCGACCTCAGCTTTCACAGACTCTGAAGCTCCTCAGGACTAAGTTCTATACCCGCTTTTCTTCTCACTCCTGAGGTCCTCCCAAGGCAATCCATTCCACTTCAGGGACCTTGGAGAACATCTACGTGTCAGCCATTCCCAATATACTTTTCCAGGCCAGACCCCTTTTCCTAGCTCTGGATTTACATGTCAACTGCTTTCACTTGAAAACTTCATAGGAATCCCAAATTTAATGTAGCCAATGCTAAAATCAAGATATTTCACTCTCAAATCTTCTCCTCCTCCAGCAATTTCCATCTGCCCACACAGGAACATTCACTCAGTTGCCATATCAATAAGCAGATAGTCAACTATGACACTTGCTTCTTCCTCATCTCCCACATATAACTGGTAATTCAGCCCTGTCCAGTGGATTGGTAAAGTAAATCTTGAATTTCATCACATTTTTCCATCTCCCCTGCCATCAACTCTTGCTTGGATACTGCAAGCTTCTTCTTATCCATGCATCCATTCTTGTCCACCTCCAATTCTTTGTCTTAAATGAAAATCTTTTCAGATTACTCCCTGGTTTTAAAATTCTTTCTTTGTTCTGAAGATCAAGTCTAAAATCATTAAAATGGTTGAAGACTCTACATGTTATATCCACTGCCTTGTCTCGTGTCGGTCTTAGCATTATTCTCTGTGCTTCAGCTACAATGGACTTTTTTCAGTTTCTAAAATCAAAAGGATCTTCCTGGGGCACCTGGGTGTCTGAGTCAATGAAGCATCTGACTTCGGCTCAGGTCATCATCTCAGGGTCCTGGGATTGAACCCCGTGTTGGGCTCTGCACTCATCGGACAGTCTGCTTGTCCCTCTGCCCCTCCCCACCCCTGCTCAGTTGCTCTCTCTCTCTCTCTCTCAAATAAATAAAATCTTTAAAAAAAATTAAAATAAAACAAAATGAAAAGGACCTTCCTTTCTTAAAAACTGTGTATGTTCTGTTTCTTCCACCCAAAACATCCCAGGTCCCCCTGCCATATATTCTCTGAGTACCACACTCTGTTCTGTATCAGATAGGAGTGCACTTGGCTGCAAGAGACAGATTACCCAATGGAAGTGGTTTCAGCAATAATGACATTTAATGACCCCTAACAAAATGTTTGCAAGTATCACTTCCAGGATTCATGAAACATTTCAAAATCATTATTCAAGACCACAACTTGTCCCCTTTCTGCTCTGCCATTCTGTGCGCATTCACCTTTTGATTTAGGGACATCATCTATGGTTGCTAGGTGGCTATCAGAGCTCCATGTATCATGCTCTGAATCAACAGCATTCAAGATAGAAGTAAGGGAAAGAATGCTCTCCTCTTATGTGTATCACCCCTAGCTGCAAGGAAAACCTTTCTCAAGAGCCTCCTCACATTTCCTCTATAACGTACTGACCACAACTGTCATATGGTGGTTCCCAGTGTGAGGGAGCCTGGTTAGATGGGTATCAGGAGGGAGAAAGGAAGGAGGTTGGAATGGCTATAGAATACATGATCAACAGCATCTAACACATTCCTCGGACCACTTATCAAAATAATAAAGAATTAAATAGGAACATTTTGTTCATTGTCTCCTCTGTAAGATTATGAGCTCTTTGACTACAGGGAATGTTTCTGTTTCATAAGCCCAGAATTAGCACAGCACCTGGCCTACACAGGAAGTCAGTTAGTGTTGCTCGAATGATGAATGAATGAGTATGAAAGAGAACAGAGGCAGAAAATAGGTACAAAAGAGATAGAAGATTGCCAATGCAAAACTTCTTAAGCTGATTGTCATATCTCATCTCTCATGGTTCAGCTCTCCATTCCAGTTAATTTAAAAATAATCTTTTATTTTAAAAAAAATGGTAAAAGTGTTCAATCCTTTGCACAATGCATGCAATTTTCCTAACTTCTTAATTCCTACCATGTGAGTCGACATGGGTGTTGTTTTTATTGAGATCCGGGAATAAATTCTTTAAAAATATAAAATAAAATTATCAGCCCTGTAATAGAGTTAGATGATCTAGAAAATTTTGAATTGCCTCAAGTACATAAATGCAAATCAATTCTTGGCTAAATCACTCAAATATCATTTGACAAGAAAAACGTATAAAAGCTAGAACATTATTTAAAAGAGTAGTCATAAAATTTGGGGTCTGAATTTTCTACTTCTGAGAGCATCACACCAACAGATAAGGATGTCATTCAGATCAGCTGACTGAGAAGGCAGATGTAGAACGCTTGGCACATAAGGGATGCTTGACATATTTTTGTTCTTATATCTAGAGCAAGGGAAAACCTGGGTTTATTCCTAACTCTGTCATGTCCTAAATATGTAAGTACGGGTAACCTGAGGATGATCCTTGGTTCACAATGATACAGTAATCTTAAACTACCTTTCCATTATAAAGTGAAGTCATAACTTAAAGAGTTAAATGCAAAAAAGTGAAATGGAATTGTATATAGCCAACAATAGCCAACCTCATAAAATATTAGGGAATCAATTCATATTTACGAAAGTGTCTCTATCTCTAAGTGCAGAATCTGTTCATAGTTTCTGATGGATCCTGAAGGGGAGGAAGAAATTTTTTTTGTCCTAGGTTCCTCTAGCTGGACTAAGAATTAAATTTACATGAAGACAGATTAACAGGAAAAAAAAAAAAGTTTTATGATGTGCACATGGAGGCCAAATAATGAGATTGAGACTCAAACAAAGGACCACGGCTGTTTTTATACATTTCAGACAGTGAGACAATAAATTTGTGAGGAATGGACAGGATAAAGAAAACAGATGTTTGGGAGTTTTAATTAGTAAGGAATTCTAAGCAGAATTTGGGCTGAGGTAGTGGATTAGTAAAAACGTAACAGGTTTGTTTCTACAGCTTTCTTGGCTTTAAAGTTCCCGTCTCTGGTGGTAAGATGTCTTCTTACTTCTTACTGCAGGGAGGGTACCTTTCATAAGGGAGATTTGTTTCTTGCTTTCAGGAAGACACAGGGGGCCCCAGTGTCTTTGCACTGGCTAATTCCCAAGTACCTTCCATTCAAAATGATCAATATGCCATTGGGGTACAGTTTGGGAGGCCTGCCCTTGGCCCCTACCGTATTCTGTTTGGACATCTCAAAACACAAAGGGCTCTGACATACAAATGTCACAATTCATTTTTAAAGAGAGTTGTAAATATCTGCACATGCAAGACTAGGTTTTAATTTTAAATATGGCTTTCATTTGAAATAAAATTCCTTAAAAAGAGAAAATGACTTTAGCATTGGCAAAGGGAGTCCCCTAAGAAAAAAATGTAAACAGATGGCTGAGAAAGATCACCCACATGCTGCACACATATCTTGAAGAGGCATTTCTAAGAATGAAGTGGCACTTCCCAGCCTGGGCCACTTCCCACAAGAATCCTTATTTTACCCAGAAAAAAAACATGGGGTTTATACCTGTGGCCAGGAGAAACTCAGCAACTCCTTCCCACTTGCCCCACCATGATCCAGACATGTTTCCAAACTCCCCGCAATGTTCCCAAAGAAGCTAATAAATCCGTGTTTGGTGATCAGCCCTGAACTAACATCTTCCTGTATAAATGCGCTGTTAAGCCCTAGCTAAGCATATTAGGCATTCAATTTAATGTATGACACACATCTGTTCCACTTTCTCAGCAAGCAGAAGTTTCAAGATAACTTAAATCCCAGCCTTAATCAAGGAGAACAAAATCTTGGCAATGTTTAAAACTGAGGTTTAAAATATAATCCAAATGAGGGCAAGAGAGACCATTTTGCTATAACTAATGAGATTATATAATACCGAATTCTAATCCACAGAATCACCTGAGCAGAAACACTAGATTTTTTTTTTAATCTGAGTCTGTTTATTTTTCCTTTCCATGCCACCAACATTTACCAAAGACCTTCATCTTTATCGGTCCCAAAGCACCAAAATGTAAGCAAAAATGAGCCTCTGCAAACACAGTAGTTTAACCCCTTTCGAAGCCCAAAGGCCAGAAGAGGAAAACTCACAGATTTGTCTTTTACCAGGAGAGCGCAGCACTGAATTCCAGCCATCAGCATCTTGTGGGGGTTCCAGGCCACGGAGTCAGCTCTGTTATGCAAAAGAAAAAGGACAAGGGTGTGCTTCTACCGGAGGAAAGAATACTTTCATTAGCAGCACAAGTATTCAAGTTCTCAACAGGATTGCTGGTTTGAGTCCTCTGGGGTAGCTTGGAGTTTTCAAGGAAAACAGTTACTTTGTCTCTGTGTTTTCACCGTGTCGCTTAAGTGTGCAAGATCCAGAGAGGTTCCCTTGCCTAAATAAGAGGTGCTGGGCCCCCAAACAACATTTACCTGTGGATGCCCTGCAGAAGTTTGCGGTACTTCCTCGACATCAAAGCTGAGCCACCCCAAGAAGCCTGTTGAGATATTTACATAATCACAACAATGTTATTTCAATGTTATTTGTCGGCCAGTCCACTGACATCGAAAACTCTGAGTGACAACCTTGATGTGCCTTAGTCCATACTTTGTTTTAAGCAGGTGTTAAGCAATGTACACACCAAACATTTTTGCTCACTGGCTCTCACTCGGGCAAGGAGAGCCTCATCACAATAGATGGCCTCCCGTGACCCTTAGGATTTAAATTCACACATCATAAAGAAATTGGTATATGAACCTGCTGGCTTGTGTGTGGACAAGAAAGTGATTTAAAAGACACAGTCCATGCCTTCTCTAATCTAGAATCTAAAAGAGACAATCTCCTTTGTTCTTACCTTTCAGTATCATCACTGAAGCATAGCTGCTATGCAATGTTATATATTAGTTTCAAGGGTACGACATAGTAATTTGACACTTCTATACATCACTGCGTGCTCACCAAGATAAGTGTAGTCACCATCTGTCACCATACGTCGTTATTACAATATTATTGACTATTTTCCTTATGCTGTACTTTTCATCTCTGTGATTTCTTTATTTTATAACAGGAATTTTGTGCCTCTTCATCCCCTTCACTTATTTCACTCACCCCCCAACCCACCTGTGTGGCAACCACCAGTTTGTTCTCCGTATTGAAGAGTAAAATAGACAATATCCTTGGCAACGCTGGCTGGCGTTCTCCCAGACACAACGTATAAATGTTGATAGTGAGGCATGGGCTGAGGGCTGACCTTCGGAATAATAAATGCGGCTCGTGCTTGACAGGGTGGATAGAGGGATACACAGGAACTCATGGCCAACGAGGAAGGGCCTAGGTGAATCCTATTAATTAGATCTGTTCAGCCAAACAGCTTTCAGAAGGTTTTGCCAATCAAAAATCTAAGAGTGAGAGAAAGGAAGCCCGGGACTTTGGGAAGATGTACACTGGAGACTTATACATTATGAACAAAGGACAAGATGGCTGAAAATAGGAAATGGAAGGAAGCCCCACAGTCAGGAAGTCTGGAGGGAATAGAGGGGGATCAACGTGGCTAATAAGGAAGTCAGGCTGGTCCTTGCAATTGAACAGATTTCTAAGTTTTAATCTGTAGGGCGAGGAAGGGTGATAGCTGTGAGGAAATTTGAGGGGACCAGCTTGGGCTCTGTTGAATGCCTCCATGGTTATCAAAACCACACAATGTTGCCTTGGGAATGGAGTCATTATTACCTCAAACTTTTAGTGGAAAAATTAAGGTTCAGAGGTGGGAGGTGACTTGTCCGAGGTCTCACAGGCATTAAGTATTAGATTTGGGAGCCAAAGCCCGTTCCTGCTTCAGGATAACATCATAGCTTAGGTCCCCATGGTAGAATACAGTGTGGGGAGCTGAAGGTGATGGAAGGAGGTGCGCTCAGGAGCCTCGCACACCACACTCACACACCTTCCCTTCTCCTGCACCACCTTCTGCCTCCTCTTCTTCCCCCCCAAAATAAACAAATGCTCCCAATCCTAGTGCATGGAAGTTTTAAAATCACATCGACTCTTTCGAGGCATTAGCTCCCCGGTTTAGAGGGGCTTGGCAGGGTCAGGAACAGTTCCTCCATAGACTTAGTCCTCGAAAGAGCTGACGGGAGAAGAACCACAGCCCCGAGGGCAGTGCCCTACTTATATTTGCTTCCCTTTCTGAATTCCTAACCCTCAAACTTGCAAAAACAGCAAACCAATTACCTAATTGTTGAAGAAGCGAGGTTTTTCAACTCAGGGAGGGCTGTCATTTAGGGAGCTAGGCCTACCTGTTGGGCACCACACTTACCATGTTACTTAACATTTTTCTCTTTAATTCATTAGTTAAGAAATTAATAGTAAGACCAATCCACACAGGGAAGTGGAGGCAAGGGTGGAATTGAGATCTGGCAGCTTCTAAAGCCCCTGACTTTAAATACAGTGTTTCCTACCTCCCCTGGGACTTGGAACGAAGAGTGGGTGGGACACGTCGGGACGCTCTGCTGGGAGCGCCAGGCTTCGCAGCAGCCACAGCCTCTGCCTCAGAGAAGAGCCAGACCAGCCAGAACTTTCTAGTCTGAGGCAGAGGCTGAAGTAACATTTGCCCTCTTGGAGAAAGAGAAAACTAAAGTTTTCCTTATGCTGCTGTGTAAAGAAGCATTGTAATTAACCAAACATAAGACACTATCCAATGTAAGAGTCACCATTTTTTATGTACCACAAAGAAAGAAAAAAAAAAATGACATCAGCATACCAACTTCAGCTCCGTTAAAATGTAAACAAAATCAGTGCATCTTAGAATGAATAAAATATGTTACATATGCAGGGCAACTTGATTTTATGAAACACCCAGGAGGATGAGCAACCATAATTACAGTTAAAAAAATAAATAAATAAAGTAGATGCCAGTTTTAATATTTTAAAGGATTTTTAAAATATTTTCTAGAAAATTTCAAACAGGCCAAGGTAACTACTGCAATTTTGTTGATTTTTATCTTTAAGGTTAATAAACTATACATGGTGTATGAAGTTTCTTCAAGATAAGCTACATGCTCCTTTATCAAATTTTATCAACAGTTTCAATGTTATTACAATAACAATATAATGTAATATTACCTTATATCCAGCCTGTCATATTAAAGCATGAGTGAATATTGTCTCAATGTGAGAGTTAATTTCTTAACCAGGTCAGATAAACTGCTGTCCAATTCTGTCTAATACTACTAGATGCCTACTATGTGCAAATCGAATAATTTGTGTGGCTTAAACATATCCTCATAAAAGTGTTTCCTTCAAAAATCCCACCTTCAGGTTTGTTTTAAAAAATCTAGGGAGGTTTTCATTCATACTTCTAAGTCACAATTCTCTCTGAGCCTCTCTCAAGTCTCTTAATCTCACTCCCAATTTAGAAACTGCTGTACTTGCAATGCTTTGCATAAACTATATAATCCATATTTGATGTTTCTTTTATGAGAATGGAATTTTTAAGTACAACTGCTGATAGATTTGATTTTTCCCCCTTATTTCCACAGTCACAAAGTAGTCACTTCATATCATCTTTTAGGACATAATGTATTATTATGCTCCGAAGTCTATAAAAATCAGTAAGATAAAAGTTGAAATGTGAACAGATACAAATGCTACAATCCCATTTAAAGTCACAAATAATCCACCTGAAGGATTGCCACTGGCACACTAATAGAGCCCGGAACTCGACTGAGCTTTATATCATGGCTGCTTTTACCGAGCATTAGCATATGCTTAATGAAAGCCTTGAGCTGCTGAAAAATTCTCTCTGTAATGAAGACACTTTGCTTTGAAAGCCTAAGATCATACAAACTATAAAAGTATGTGTAGGTATATCCCCCAAATGCTGTTACCTTCCGTTCAAAAAGTCAGAAATAGCATTCTTTCTTTTTCTGCCAAGTAGGCTATGAATCACTCACTTACCAGAAGAAAGTTCCCTACAGTGTCATCAGCAAGTTCAAAACCGTCCCTTCTACTGGATTGAATCAAACTAATTAACTCCTAGTTCTACCAAAAAAAAAAAAAGAAGAAGAAGAAGAAAAAAGAAAACCCAAAAAGCTCAACAAGCATTCATAACTGTCTGAATTCAGATTTTTAACCCTGGATGAGTAGAATTTAAAGAGTTACCTTTAATTAAGAAAAAAATTTATTATGAACAACCCCAGGACTTACAAAATTAGTTAGAAAAAAAAAAAGCCAATTCTTTAAGTCAGAAAATTATGAAGAATGTAAGTTATCCCAATCCCTCTCAAATAATTATCTATGATGCGGGGCGCCTGGGTGGCTCAGTCGTTAAGCGTCCGCCTTCGGCTCAGGTCATGATCCCAGGGTCCTGGGATCGAGCCCCGCATCGGGCTCCCTGCTCTGCGGGAAGCCTGCTTCTCCCTCTCCCACTCCCCCTGCTTGTGTTCCCTCTCTCGCTGTGTCTCTCTCTGTCAAATAAATAAATAAATAAAATCTTTAAAAAAAAAAATTATCTATGATGGATCCAGATAAAACCTGCTTTAATGATAGCATGCAATTATTAATGCAGCTGTTTGCATTTGCCGGCTGATTGGAATCATGTAATTGCAGAGCTACAAGATACTTTACAGACCACATCAGCCTCTTCCCTCTTTATAAATGAAACCAAAGCCCAAACAGCTAAGGTTGCAATGAAGAAGAGGCTGATTGGAGCCCAAAGTCAAAGTCTCTTGATTTTGTAGTTCAATGTGTCCCTCATCCCGTGCTGCCTCAGTGACAGCAGATGCAAGGGACCAAAGAGAATGGTTCGTGGGAGAAGAGGAAATAAAATGGAATCTGGAAAACAAAACCAAAACTTACATCAAGCCTTGGCATCTTCTTCTCTATTACCTTATGGAAAAAAGCAGATTTATTTCCCTTAATTAGAAATACACACTTAAATAAAAGTAGCTGGGGACCTCACGTCTAGTTTCTGAGAACACAAAAGATTTCCCACCAAAGCTGCAAATAGACTAGAAAGTTAACCCGATGCGCACATACAAATGCACTTACGTCCACATGAAGCCAGAGGCCATGCCTCTCACAGATGTCTGCTATTTCATCCAGAGGATCAAAGGCTCCCAACACAGTTGTACCAGACGTGGCACAGACGAGAAACGGAGCTGCTCCCTGTGAGGAGGATCCACACACAAGAACCGTCACCATCACCACTAAGTCTGTCCTGTAGTAGGTTGGTAAACATAATGTTTATGCAGCCAAAAATTTATCTGGTTCCTTTGGAGGTAACCATTCAGACACAGTGTTTTTCAGCTTCTCTACAATATGGTCCCTTGTCCTTTCCAAGAGGTCAAGGAAACCAAGACAATGCTATGACAACAAGAGTCTTTTTTCCCAACTCCACATGCACCTTTAACTGTTTTTACTCTCATTTTCTTTCTGAAGTGTTTTCTGTTCTTTAGATTTCCCACATACAGAGTGAGTAACCTCCACTGCAATTGTAAAATGGCCTTCTGTGTGATTCCTACCTCCTTTTGGGGGTGATTCACTGGGTCCCGAACGCCAGCATTGTTACACCTCCACAGAATAAAAACAAAGATGACTGGAAAATAAACAGCGCGAGGTGCAAACCACAGAGGTCTGTCTGCCTGTCTCCTTATCAAGTAAGTGCAGTTGCAAAACAAAGAGAGTGATCAGGTACAAATTGGCAACAAACGGGGATAGTGTAACCTCATTGGGATACACTTTCCAAAATGGGTGCCCCAACAGAGAAATCCATTAGAATGTTCTAGAAAAGAGAACCTGCATCACTCCTACCATGACTCTGCCTCTTCATACAGCTGATGGCTGCACCTTATAGAGTGAAGAGGTGCCGGAGGGCAACAGAGGTGGGCGGGGAGAAGGGAGACTGTGGGAACACACACAGAGATGGATGGTAATTCCGGCCAAGCTAGCCAAGCACCCTGGCCCCATAAAGAACTTTATAGCAGCCAGGTAGAGAGAGGTGCATGAGGTGGTTTCCTCACAGATTTGCCCCAGCATGTCAGCAAAGATGTACTGCTCACTGTGGAAGTGCCCTGGAGGGACAATTTGCAGACAAAGGTAGGGGTGGGGGAAGGGATGAGAACCCTAAGACTAGAGCACTTGAGGACTAAGGGACAAGAGCGTTCCCTGCCTATAAAAGTCATTTTACCTCCATTTAGGATGGAGTCATTTTGTTCTCTCGGTTTTATCTTAAAGCTCAGTTGTTCTTGCAATATATTTTTATGTCCCATTTAATGTCAGGAGTTATTCCTTTTGAATCAGACTCCTTCCAATTTAACTGACCTTTGACAGAAAGAAGTTATTTCTCAATAGAAAGTGGAGCAGAGCAATGACACTTGGGCCACATCTTTAAATCGAGATGCAAAGGAAACAAAGTGATGGTACCCAATGAATCCATTTGCCATCTGGGGAGACGGTTGTGACACATGGAATCCAGTCCACAGGAAACTGTTAGAGCAGGGCCAGTGGGTGATGGAGCCCCTGGGGAACCACCTCCTTTGGGAATTCTTCCCTGTGCTCAACTACCCACAGATTACGTCTTTATCACGTCAGTGACCAAAATAAAATGAGACCAGATTTACATCAATCATTAAAAGGAAGAGAAAAAGTAATTTCCTAAAAACACGGAAGGTGTCTTTAATGTTTGGAGTGTTCCTCGTAAACTATGTGACACCCTGGCAGTTGTGAGAAAATACTTTTGCAAGCTATTACAGCCTACTAATGAGTTTTCCTCACCTTTTTAACAATCTAGCTATAAATATCAGGCCCCAGAATCAAACTTTTGCAACCTGGATTTAACCTTCCAACTTTCTTTTTTTTTTTTTTCCTTTCTCGTATCTCCTGCTATTAATGAGAAAATTCAGTGGAAACAGTATTGATTGTGTGCTGCTGATGAACTGTATTCCCTAAGGAAGTTTGTCATGTGACACAATCATACACAAAAATACTTTCAAATATTCAGCAGTTATACGAGTCTGATCTTTTCATGAGAACTTTAGAACCTCTGATGCTGGGCGCCTGGGTGGCTCAGTTGGTTAAGCGACTGCCTTCAGCTCAGGTCATGATCCCAGGGTCCTGGGATCGAGTCCCGCATCGGGCTCCCTGCTCTGCGGGGAGCCTGCTTCTCCCTCTGCCACTCCCCCTGCTTTTGTTCCCTCTCTCGCTGTGTCTCTCTCTGTCAAATAAATAAAATCTTTAAAAAAAAAAAAAAAAGAACCCCTGATGCTCTGTGGTTTTCACCATCTTTGGAATGGCGTCAAGTAAAGGTCACTGCTCAACAGATTTTTAATGGATTGTGGTGGGCCAGGGAAATGAATCCCAGCAGGAAAAAAAAAATTGATGTACTATCCCCACACCTGTAACAATACGAACTCAAAGCTTGACACAAAAGAGCTAGGTCTAAAGCTATTAAAAAAATAAATAAATAAACTATTCACCAGATATTATCTCAGAATGGATACGAGGTTTGTCCTTGGTGAATCCAGGCTCAAGTTTTAACTAACTTGAAAGAAAACTGAGGAGACATACCAACTCTCACTCCATGGCCCTACTTTTAAATGCGCCTAAAGCAAGTTTCACTTTTTCAAAACTCCTCTTTTCAAGTTCTCAACTTTAGGATATGTCAGTTTCATGTACTTTCATTGCCGAAACAAACAAAAATTTGTACAATGAAAATAACAATGACTGCCGTGGAATAAAACCCACCAAATATGCTAGATTATCCCTAATGATTCTAAAAAAGAAAAACCATTTTGGCTATCTTTAGGAGATGCGAAGCAAATAACTCACTATTCTGAAAACTGGTACACAAGGGGGAAGAATCAATCATTTATCCTGCCCTGGTTGTGCAAACGGTTTCCTTAGGGAAACCAAATAAGAATGAGGGAAGGTTTTCCTTCCTGGTAGTAAGCCTACTAAATGAAGGAGGAACGAGAGAACAAGTAAGAACATCACCTAATGAAATAATGGGTCTAGACAATGATCATCAATGGCAGCAAAAATCATGAGGTGAGAGGCTGATGCGGAGCTCTGTAATAGATGGACTCATAATATAAGAACCCACCGATCAATGTTAGCAAGAAAAGAGACAGGAGATGTGTCCTGATTGAAGGACAAAATGCCACCTGTGAAGCCTTCCTGGTAAAATTTCCAATCTGAATCCCACTGAGTCTCAAGATCCCACTGACTAATTACAGGAAATATAGAGAACAGATAGGTTGTACAAGGGAGGGAGCACTTAGATTCTCAAATTCTTGACATAATCTACAAGATCCACAAAACTCTTGTGGAAAACTCTACAGGACAAAGGACTCGGTTTCTTCAACAGATCAATTGCAGGGAGAGAAAAAAGGAGGAGGGAGAAGCTACAGATTAGAAAAGATTTGTGTGATGAATCAACCAAATGCAACATATGGACCTTGAATCCTTATTCAAACAAGCCAGCTATTAAAAAAATGCAAGAGGAAAAATTTTAATATAGAATAAAATTTGATGATACTAAGAATTTATTTCTTGTAATGGTGTGTGTGTGGTTTTTTCTTTTAATAAAGAGAGAGTACATACCTTTTTACAGATATACTGAACTATTTATAGATCAAATGGTATGATGTGTGAGATTTGCTTCAAACTAATCTAGTGGTGGTGGGAGCGGATGGGGTACAGAGAGAACAGAGCAGAAGCAGAATAGGGCAGAAGCTCACAGTTGTTGAAGTTGCATGATGGGTATATAGAGACTCGTTAGATTAGTTTTTATATATTTGAAATTTTCCATAATGAAAAGCTTACAATTCAAGAAGGAAAGAAAGAGAGAAAAAGAGAGGGGGGAGAGAGGAAGGAAGGAATCATATGAACCACACAGAAATCACAGTCAATATTTCCACACACCCCCCACCCCACCAAGAAGCATTAATAACATAAACAAAGTTCTCTTTGATAGGAACTTCTGTAGAAGATAAAACTAGAAAAAAAAGATAAAATTAGAACACAATATCCATGGTTCACAGCAGAACAAACAGGTTGTAATATAGAATTTTACCCAAGAGTGAATGAAATCTGATCATCTGTCTCACCAAACAGGTTTCAAGTCCTCTTGTTATTGGAATATTAGAAAAGAGAGAGAGAGAGATAAATATGGATCTAAGGACACACAACTGAAGCCAGTACACCTGAATTTTTAAGTACAGGGGCGCTTGGGTGGCTCAGTCGTTAAGCGTCTGCCTTCGACTCAGGTCATGATCTCAGGGTCCTGGGATCGAGCCCCACATCGGGCTCTCTGCTCCGTGGGAAGCCTGCTTCTCCCTCTCCCACTCTCCCTGCTTGTATTCCCTCTCTCTCTCTGTGTCTCTCTCTGTCAAATAAATAAATAAAATCTTTTTTTAAAAAAAAAAGAATTTTTAAGTACAGAATTTCAAACCAAATACAGTGAACTAGCATGCTCTGGTGACAAGGTGATTTTTATGAAAAAATTAAAAATATAAAGAGTAAAATAACAGAAATGTATTAAAACAAAAAGTAAAAATAAAAGAGCCTATCTTTCTTACAGTGTGGAATCCTCTAAGGAGAGATATACCTGGGGCGCCCGGGTGGCTCAGTCAATAAGCGTCTGCCTTCCTCTCAGGTAATGATCCCAGGGTCCTGGAATCGAGCCCCATGTCAGGCTCTGTGCTCAGTGGAGAGCCTGCTTCTCCCTCTGCCCCTCCCCCTGCTTACACCCTTCTCTCTCTCTCTCTCACTGTCTCTCTCAAATAAATAAATAAAATCTTTAAACAAAACAGAACAAAAAAGACAGAGAGAGATACTTCTCTCCCAGCTCAAAACAAGGCTTTTCAGTTGTCAGCAGCTTTAGCAGTTTCGCGCCCGACTCTGTTGCTACCTACTGGACACTTGTGGGGGAACAGTCCTGAAGCTCCGAAGCAGTGAGAGCTGTGGTGGGATGGGAGGAAGCAGTGAAGCAGGTGCACCTAATCCAGCGGGCTTTTGGTCCAAGAAGCAAGATGGCTGCCACTAAGGCAATGGAACACCTCAAAGGTGTCAGGGCCCAGCCTTGGCTGGAGTATAGCAGGTGAGTAGGGCAAGGCCTTGCCATCCCAGCAATGGCCATGCCAACTTTAATATATTGTGGCAGCTAAGGAAGAGCAGACATTCTGCCAGAGCTGACATACTAGACACAGACCCAAGACAGGGGGATGGTTCCTGTGATGGGCTTTGGGTGGAAGCAACCTGGAGCACAGACTGATCAAGAAATCGAAATCATTCTGAAGGCAACCCAGAGACAACTGGCCTGGCCTCCAGAACTTCAGCCCATAGTTAGGTAGGAGAGTGGATGCAGGGGCCCTGCTGGAGAGGCTGGGCTCATCTTTTCAGGCTAATTCTAGGCAAGAATCGGGAATATGGTGATGTCGGCGTTTTAATAGGCTCCAGCCACCTGGGAATGAGAACATCTGAGAAACTGCACAGAACATGGAGAGCCAAGCACCTGGAAATAGAACATCTGTAAATGAGTTTTCCTATTTTAATTCTAACAAGCTCTCTTCTCTCTCCCACACACAGAAACGATTCTGGTGTTTGCATTCCCTCCCTCATACCCAGACACGTGCCTACGTTTTCTTCCCCCTCTCACCTCTTTGCTGGCTTGCCAGATTTGCCTCTCCAGCTCCGCAGGTATCATCTTACCTCTAGGAGACACAGATTTGAGGCACTCAGGTATGTTTAGTCATGAACAAACATTGGTACTGCTTTTTAAAAAGCATGAATTCCCCCCTCCGCCCACCAGGCTTCCGGATCCTGTCCCCATTACCTTCCATCTGTTTCCACAAAGCAAACATTCTCTGTACCAATCCCTAGAAAGGAGGCTGCTTTCTTCATAGAGTAATGACACTAAATTAAAAGGGGCAAGGGGGAAAAGGAAAACATAAATACATAGCATGAAAAAAACCACTGCTTATTATCTGAAGTCATAAGGCTGAGCCCAATCTTTGGAACGTTATTGTATAAAAGAAAAAGAAAGTAGTAGTTCAAACGGGCTCCTTAATATAGCGGTTGAAAACACTGACTTTGGTTGGGATCAGAGAAACCAGGGTATAGTTTCAAGTTTTCCCAGTTACAGCTATGGAATCTTGAGAAAATAATGTACGCTCTCCAAGCCTCAGTTTGCTAATTTCAGGTGGGTGTGTCAGTGCCTAATTCATCTGCTTTTCATAGAACTCAGTGGGTTAGTATATAGTAAAAGGTTTAGCATAGAGCCTGGTCTAGGGAACAAACTTGGTCACTGGAAGCTGTTGTTTTTCCCTGACATTGAGAGAAGTTTCTCTTGATGTTACTAATAATACTCAACATTAATGGAAACAGAATCCAGTCCACTGCTGACTCAAAACTCTCTGAGTAGGGAGTGAGACTCTGTTTCAAAAATTGCAATCGCAAACCACAGAAGAATTTAATTATTTTCAAAAGCAAACAATGGGTTATAAATGCTGATCATACACTTGACCAATCTCGTTTACTATTGAATGTAAGACTGAAATTAGACACAGAGGAATGTGGCTAAAATCATAATAACAAAAGTAATAAAAATTTATGGACACCTTACTTTATGCAGCCCTGGCATGAATAGGAGGCTAATAGGAGGCTCTAGAATTAGGTCTGGTCTAGTTCTTACTGGAAATGGTAGTATATGCCTTAGATTGTTGGGCCTTTTCTTCCCTACTACATAAAGCCTATAAAATAATTAGCATTCAAACATTGGAGATGTCACTCTTTATACATTAGTGTGGACAGGTGGTCAATTAATTCTTTCTTGTGCCAGAAAAATGAAGGTGCTAAAGGACATTATTGTACCAAAAACCCTTAGTAATTTAATTTGTAGGTATGAATACATTAAAAGAGTAGTCATGCCTTCACACTTAACTTGATGTAGTCCCTCAAATGTGGTAATTTTTTTCTTCTTTTGTCAAGAAAGTTTTATTGGAAGCTCTTTTTTTTTTTCAACTCTATCAAAATAAATGCAGAAGTAACATCACCAGGAAAAATGAAACCATCCTACATAATTAATTTCCAGGTATCAAATAGGACACGGCCAAATGCCTGTAGGATGCACTCACTTCCAGTTGTTAGAAGAACATGTGCATATTGAGGAGTAAGAATGTACATGAAAATGTAATTAATTCTCTACTTGCTACATCAGCCCACCCTAGCTAGGTGACATAGCCAAGGTGAATTCTTTCTCACCAGAGACTTGGACTCTAGCAACCAACTATTGATCTCATGGTGATAAAGAGTAGCCTATTCCACTGGCATTTGCCAATAAGGAAAATCACATTGCTTTGCCCTAAAAAACAGCAGAGTGTCCCCAACCAATGGGTCTGCTGAATTAAAAAACTGGTATGCTGATGAAGAGTAACTTTGGTGGGGCTATATTTGGCTACCCCAGGGCAAAGTAGAATCCAATGTCAATCTCAAATGGATAGGGACAGATAAAAAAAAAAATGTCTGCAAAACTGAAGTCTAAACATCTAAAGGCATCAGAGGAGGAAAAGAGCCCTGGAAGAGACAAAAAAAGAAAAAGAAAAGAAAGAAAGAAGGCAATGCTTCAGATGTGCTGAGTAGTTGCAAGGAAAGGAAAAACCTAGAAGGCCGGAATTCAGAAGTAGCTGCTGCCTTTAGAAACAAATGGTATTTGCTCCCCTCTCTGGCAAAAGATAAGTCAGTCATTCGTTCTAAGACCCAGTCTCCCCTCCAGGTTTCATTCGTCTACAGAAGACACAAAAATCTCAGTGGGCATTTATTCCTAGAATGATGAAACAGCAAGTGCCCCTATGAAAGATAGAAGTGCACTGACATTTTCCTTTCCGGTTCCTGCAAGGATTTTTTCTTTGACCTTGGGTTTCCCAAGGAACTGCGGCTTTCCCCCTCGAGTAGATTGTGTGCTGGGCACTTGGACTCCTTCTAGGGCTGACTAGTCTGGTGCTCAAATGAGCTCCAGGTGGTGGGGAAACCAGGGTCTGCGAATGTCCTCTGTTGGGGAATGAAGAAAAGGGACGTAGTACAGGGACCTCTCCAAGAGCACACAGCTGGCTCAATTCCCAAAGCAGAGTCAGAATTCAGATGGGCTACTCTATGCTCCGCCTGACTTCCTAAGAAGCACCTGCTCGCTGAGGGAGAATGCCTGCACTAACATCCAAACTCCAGTCAGACTCGCCTAGACAGAAGGGCCACAAAGAGGGTGAGTGAATGAGGTATGTGAGGAGGCATGACCTTGAGAAGTGTACCCTGGTCTCTCTCGCCCCATCCCAGCCTCCATCCTGCTAGAGAGAAACAAGGCCTCCTGCTGGCTGGCCTGGGAGGTCAGGGTTTCTCTTCTTCCCTCACTTTTTAGTAGCAGACAATGATCATTACTTTATGCTGATTCCCAAAAGGACTTGAATTATAAACCTACGATTTCTTTAAATTCAAGGAATTTATATCTAACTGCTAATCAAGCCACAAATTTATTACTTTCCTCCAAAAGTCCCTTCCCTTTGGTTCCTATTCAGCCTGGGGAGGCTACTGTGGATACATGGACAGTGCAGGGGGCTCTCTCATGATGTTCCAAGTCTCCATGGACAGTGAAATTATAATCAAAACCTCAAGTATGCAAATACACCTCCAGTGGTGAGTGCATATACTCTGCATTTGATGGTACAAGTCGGGGATGGAGTGGTTACCCTGGAGGCCACACAAAACAGGAAAAAGAAGACCACCCAATAAACAGTACTGGAAAATAACCACAGGGCCTTGGCCAACACCTAAAAGCAAACAAGATTTGCAAAAAGCAAAAAGCCTAACATAGGGTTTAAGACCACTGAGGAAACACAACCGTCTTTAATTCTTTTTTTTTTAACCGATGAATTGATTTGTTGTAGTAAGTGGTGAAAGAGATTGCCAAAATATGAATTAAAATCATGCAACTACTATGACCTCAGTCTCTTTGGCAGAGCAGGGAAAGGAATGAGCAACAAGGTAGAGTCTGGATGAATGGGGTAAAAATCTGTATTTGGAGCTATCGTGTATTTGAAGCTATGGAGTTTTTCTGTGGCATTCACACTGATATGAGCTGAATGCTTGTGTCCCCTCAAAATTCATGTGTTTAATCCCTAACGCCGAATGTGGTAGGATTAGGTTGGGATGAGGTCAAGAGGGTGAGACTCTCATGGGATTACTGCCCTTATCCGGAGAGAAGACAGAGACTTCTCCCTCTGTCCCCTAGCACGAGCCCAGGAAAGGCCATGTGAGCACACTGTGGTCCCCAAACCAGGAAACAGGCTCTCATCAGATAACCAAATCTACCACCACCTTGAACTTGGACTTCCCAGCCTCCAGAACGGTGAGGAATAAATGTCAGTTTTTTAAACCAGCTGGTCTATGATATTTTGTTACAGCAGCCCAAGTAAACTAAGATGTATATTTAGTTCTTGGTTTTCTGGCTCCATCTTCTGCTGCCATGTTAGCCAGGGCATATATTTTACCTCTTTTTGCATATATATCTCCACTGGAGATAAAAAAAATAATACTAGTTCTGTTTTCCCAACTGCATGAGGTTTCAATTTCTTTTCACTCCCAATCTGCCAGCTACACCTATGTCCCTGATCTCTCCCAGGCATAATCTTTATTCTAGGCTTCCATAGAATTCCTTCCCCCTTTCCAGAGCAATTATTCCAGAAGAGACCTCAGGTACATTTTAAGCCAATGAATGAAGAAGGCAAAAGTAAAAGCACTGAGCTGAAAGCAGGGGCCCTACTGAATCAGCTTTCTCAGGCACGGGAGCAACAATTCAAAAGAAGAGACTTTGCATTTTGGATATGCTGGCTTCCTCCAACTGAAATGCCAAAGTTTGGAACCCAGAAAGGGAAACTCGACTCCATAATAATCCCAAAGTACCAAGTGTTTTCCCCAGATGTCTCCATTCCCAAACATTCTTCGCTTGCTCTAGAAAAGCTTTCACAAAGAAGGGCTGAGTTAAGATTAGAAGATTTCTTCCAGACGCCTCCCCACACTCAGCACCCACTTTGCACTTGGCACTGAACGAACCAGAGCAAAGGTCAGCCAGGGCAGGTGTAAAGCATGGGCAGGGGGCAAGTTTTCTTCCACTGCCCACCTCTTCGACCACAGTTTACCCCTTGGCAATAATAAAGGAAATCATGCTCGTAAAAGAAAATGACAGATACAGGAAAGGCCAGCTGGAAATAACAGAGAACGTTTAGAGTTTGCCCGCCTCATGTGTTTCACAGGAGACCTTGGATTATCAGAGAAGGTACGGAAGCTAAACTCTTCCTGCCAGGGACGGGGGCAGGAAGCAGTGGTGGGATAGACAGAGGCACCCACTGGAATGGCACAAGCAGAGGAAAGGAAAAAAATAATCTCTTTCAGATGAGACTGTACTTCAGCTGTGCTATCCATTCTACCCACATTATGACAGCTAGGTAATTCTCCTCCTCCTAAGAAAACTAGCTAACGTTTTTGTGTATCTATAATGTGCCAGATGCTACTTTCCATGCATTAGCTCATTCAGTCTCTGCAACAACCCACTTAGCCATGACTACTGAGCTCATGTGGCTCCTGGGTGGTTAGGATGGCCCCAAATGGTTCCCTTCTCCCTGTGTCCATGTCCTTTGCCAGGGGACTTTGCAGCAAGTCCACCTACAAGATGGAGTCTGTTTTCCCAATTCTTGGATCTGAGCTCGTCGACATCACTTGCTTCACTGAGAAAATGAGGTGGAAATGACAATGTACCAGCTCTGAGCCTAGACTCAAGAGGCCTGGTGGGTGTCCATGTTGTTTTTCCCCTGGACCCCCGCCATGACTACACACCTGGACTAGCCTGCTGGAGGATGAGAGATGCATGGAGCAGAGAGACCTCACTGGAGTCATCCTGGTCAGGCCCACTCCTACCTCAGCCATTGGGCAGCCAACCCCCAGATACATAAGGGAGCCCCACCAAGAGCAGCAGAAGTGTCCCAGCTATCCTAAGACTTGTAAAGCAATGATATCCAGCTCTAGTTCTACACCACTGGGCTTTGGGGTAATTTGTTAGAGACAACAGCTAGCTGATACTTATTTTAACAAATTAGGAAACTGAGGCACAGAGGAATTAATCAACCTACCCAAGGTCACTCAGATAGTAGTGGCGACAAGAACTGAATGCAGGCAGCCTAGCTCAAAGCCAATGTACTTACCCACAGTCAGACCTCCCTACTTTGGTGAGGAGTAAAAGGCCATAGGGGATTGTGGCAACATGCAATGTGGGGAGTGGGGGGGTGGGTGTGTGATGTTCACCATTTCGGAATATCTCCCTTTCCTCTTGAAAAGCCTTTGTGTTACACATTTGAAGCAATCAGTTTTACAAGGCAATGTGAGGCTTCTGACAGAGCCGAGCGATCATCTAAGTTCTAATAAATAAGGCACTCAAAGAAGAGATTCACAGGAAGAGATAGCAGTTTCAAATTGAATGTTCTCTTTTCTCAGAGAAAAATGTTATAGACTATAAATTTTAAATAAAGGTGATGTACAAAATTGAGTGGCCAGGGGTTACAATATCAAACCCATCAGAATTTCCTTTGGAATGAAATATGACATTATACTTAGGCATATTAGTCACACATGGATAAGATAAAAGCATATCAGAAGTCCCAAACAAACAAACCCCCTTAAATAATGCTTTCTCTGAAAATCTGTATCTGATATAAAAAATAATTTTTTACCTCTGCAGATGTGAAAAGGATTAATCTTGGCAACCCAGACAGCCCCTTTTCCTTAATATCAGGACAATATTTGTATCTAGCTAAATTCATTGCATACATATTGGACACTGAACCACCTGCAAAAAACAAAATTGAAATGGCATATTTATAGCATGAAATCATAGCTCCCTAAGTGCCAACCACAGGGGAAGACATCAACGGCTATGGCCATTCTAGTCTAACAACGGATCCCCCCAAGAGTCATCTGAGCAGCATGCCCCACCCATGACTCTCACCCACTTCCTAACCCCCAATTACAGCAATTTCCAATCTCAGCAAAGACTGAAGTTTTGGTCTCTTCTCTCATTCCAGAGTTTTTCCAAACTAAAAGTTTCAATCTACGGACAAGGGCCAGTACCCAAGTCTTCGTAGTTAATGGTATTCTGTCTGTCACCTGACCAATAAGATGAGGATACAAGCTCATCTCTGGTCCCAAGAAAGGGCTGTAGGACAAACAACATGTGATTCAGAAACCTTCTCAAGTAGAATGGATTGAGAAATTTATAGCCCTTCCAAATTCCCAGCAGCAGATAATTTCATTTGTAAGATACAAATCCTAAATTGTAGACATCTCCTTGGTTTAACGTTTATGTCAGTTGTTTAGCATTTATGCAAAATGTTGCCACTCTGGAGAAAGGAATGAGCTAGATTCTCAACAAGTAGAATTATTCCTAACCAACTTTTTGGAATTTGTAAATCTTCAAGGAGCTGTTCTTCATATAACACATAAATAAATGTTTAGGTGTTTGCAGTGGAAGGGAGATGGCAATAACTAGCTGTACTTACCTGGGTTAAATATTCCATCCCCTTCTTTCCAGCCAATAAATTCAATCATTTTCTTCAGAACCGCTTCTTCCACTAACAGAAACACTGGGGACACCTCATACGTATAACTAGATAGATATAAAAAACACTTCACTTCTATGACTAGAGTTACACATAGAGTTTTATTCAACCAAGTGGCTATGGAAGTGCAGGTAGAGTCTTTGGAAATTTATCCAATTGGAAATAGAGAAATGTGCAGTCGGTGAGAGTGCTAGTCATGGTTTGATAGATGACAATAGGTGGGGGCCTTAGGGATACGCAAGCTACTTCAGCAGTCGTAATTTACAGGAACCCTTCAGGTCCACTGGGAGTGATAAAGGAAGTGCATCTAGATTCTTTGTATTAGCCATGAGCCGTGGCCATTTCATTCTTTGGATGCTGCTTTGGATGCTGGTTAAAGAAAAACCATTGTCAGGTGCCTGGGTGGCTCAACCAGTTGAGCAACTGCCTTCGGATTGGGTCATGATCTCGGGGTCCTGGGATCGAGGCCCACATTGGGCTCCTTGCTCAGTGGGGGGTCTGCTTCTCCCTCTCCCTTTGCCCCTCCCCCCAGTTTGTGCTTGCTCTCTCTCTCTCTCTCAAATAAATAAATTCTTTAAAAAAAAAGAAAGAAAGAAAAACCATTGTCATGGTAACCAGGTTTTATTAGGTTCCTATCATGAGTACCCTAACAGTCAGCTCTGCCTATTCTACGCGGAAACTACTCACCCTGAACTAGGGTTTTCTCCACTACATTCCTATGCTGGCCCAAATGGGAAGTGCTCTGTGGGGCCTCTCTTATCATGTGATTTTATTGCAAAGCACTGCCCAAATCCCCTGTCCTTGAAGGTTTTGTTGCTCCAGGCTGGACCATTGTTGTGGGAGAACACGAAGTTAGCCCCTTTTCGAACGAACTGCCTCAGCTTCAGGGAGCTACCTTTCCCAAGGTCACAACCAGGTATAAAGGCCTGGCCATATGGGCCCAACTCCAGACCACTCTCAAGGGCCACTATAGCTCCAGAGATCTCCAGGGAGTCAGCCGAGGTTGCCATTGAGGCCCCATGACGGCTTGACTTCTGGCTCTGCCCACTCCTGTTGCCTTACCCTCCCATCACCCATGTGGATCCCAAGGGCATTCCTTAATAAACACCTTGCTCACTAAACTCCATCTAGAGCAGTTTCCCAGGGAACTCCACCTGGGAGGGTTACCATGCCTTGTTTCATAATATTTGAGTCTCTTCTTTCTCTAGGTAACTTGAGGGTGACTAAATTATCTATAATCTCCTCTAACAATTAAGCCATTACATTAAATTGTATCCGAATAAACCTGTACTCCAAATATATAAGCCATGCAGACACACCTAGATTTGCACTCACAGAATTGAATGTGAATATTTTAACACCCAGAAGGGAAAACTTTGGAAATGAGGCAAAACAAAAACACAAAATGAAATGAAACAACAACAACAAAAAAACAGAACACCTATTATGTGTCACCTCCCTACCTCCCTACATGCCAAGCGCTCTACAGACATCATGTTAATTTTCAAACAATCCAGGTTCTACTTTCAACCATGCTAGGAAGCCAGTTCACACATATCAGAAGTGTGGGAAAAAGTCTATGTGTTTATGTGCACCTGCAAATATAAGTGAAATAATTGTTCACTTAAAAAAAAATAATATGAAGCCTGCCTTTGAAAGCTGGCTCAACTGTAAACCTGGGGACAGGCATGGAGTTGGAGGAGAGGACGATATGGGATGCTCTCATGGCTTGCTCACATTTTGAGTGGATTGTTCAGCTTAGCAACAACTTAATACTTTGCAAACCGCTCCATGTTGCAGTGAAAAGAACCCAGACGAGAAGTTAGAAAACCCAGGACATAGAAGGAAAGGTTCAGAGAGTTGGGTAATTTTACTGTCTCTTCTGGCCCATCTACCACTTACCTCTTCTACTCACTATAAACTGGTATCATCTCACATTACCCCACCAAGCCTTCTCTAACTGAAGTCACCAATGACATCTGTGTTGCCAATTCAAGGGACAATTTTTAGTCTCTGTCTTAGTTAAACACTCAATAGTATTATGATTCTAACACACTCTGCTCCATGGTTTCCATGCCTTCCTGGTTGATTTTCTCCTTTTCCTCTGTCTCTCTATTGTAGGCTGGTCTTCTTCCTCCTAACCATGAGATTATTAGATGTCCTCAAGGCCCAGTCCTATGCTTCTGTCCTCACTCTATATTGTCTTGCAGACACTGCTTCTCCATCCCCTGGTTTGTTTTTGTTCAAAGTGTCTTCATCCTGTTCATCAAAATCATTTGTTTGGCTTTGAAAATATATCAGTGCTTGGGACACAGCCATAGAAATTCAGACTTAATTGGTCTGGGTTGGGACCCAGGCCTCAATATATTTTTTGGAAATGTCCCAGGTTGATTCTGATGAACAGGAAGAGTTGAGCTTCACTGACTTTAGGAATCTCATCCACACATACTTTTCAATTACACATCATTCCCCAGTAACTCCTAAATTGATAACTTTCATAGAGATATCGGAATTCCAGGCCTGTATATCTCTCAGCTTGGCTGATACATACTCTTGAATAGCTCAGAGTCACTGCAAACTCAAATTCTTGCAATTGAAAATTAAATTATTGCTCTTGCCTTTTTCATCTCATCCCTGAAAACTGGTCCCCTCTTCCTATGCTTCTTATATCAATGAATGACATGACCATCAACACAGCTAAAAAAGCCAGAAACCCAAGGATCATTGTATAAACCTCCTTCTTGTCCTCATTCCTAAGGTTCAATATATTATCCAGACCTTTCTGTTTTATCCTCTAAACAATTTTGCTCTCTCTCTTTTCTTACCACTTCTGTCTAAGTTCAAGCTACTGCCATCTCTCACCTAAGATAATGCCCTCCTGATTGGTCCCCTCCAATTCACTCTCCATATTTCAAGTGATCTTTTCAATAAGCAAATGGCATCTAATGATTTAGAAACCTTTAAAGGCTTTCCTTTGTACTTAGAATAACTCATAAACATGGCCCACTGGGTCTTGCATATCTGGTTCCTAACCATTTCTCCAATCATATCCTCCATTATGCTCCCTATCGCTTTCTGAGCGACACCTTCACTGACCTTTCAGTTCATAAGGTACGCCATTCTGCCTCCTGCCACAGGGCGTTTGTGCATGCTGTTCTCTCTGTTTGAAACTCATCTCTTCTCTTTTCACCCAGTAAACCCTTACTCATTCTTCAGCTCTTAGTTGTCATTTCCTCAGAGAAGACTTTCCTGAGCTCCCAACTAGGAAAAAATGTCCCACTTATATTTATAGCATCATCTACCTCTTCATATGCAAATTAAAATTTTACATTAATTTGTGTAGATAATTTTGATGAATTTGCATGGAGTATCTCCATCTCACTAGACTTTTTGCTTCATGAAGGCCAAGTCAAAGTTTGCTTCTATTCAAAGTATCTCTCCGGCACTTAGCAGAGACATGGCTTTTCATGCAGGAATGGATGACAAGTTGCTTAATCAATTTTCTCATCTGTTAAGTGGAGATAACCATGCCTGCATTAACCATCTTACAGTACCACTATCAAATCAAATAACTCTTTAAAATACTGCTAAGTGTCATTCCATTATTTATGATGACACTGTACAAATGAAACCATGAAATAGAAATTCAAGAAAAAAAACTTCGTCTACTTAAAAAACATCTCTAATGCATGCTTTATGTAAGAGTCCAGTAAAATGGTACTTACACACTTGGGTTTAATGCTTCTGTCATAAATCGGGCCACCAAGGAATAATAATCAAGTCCAGCATACAACTGGTTGAAAAATCTTGGATGGTCTGTAAATTTAAGCAGAGCATTCATCTACACAGCAATAAAAACAAAAAAGACTCTCCATACAGCGGTAACATAAATCAATCTTTCAGACAGCGAACGCAGACAGATACAAAAGAGTATACACTGCATGAATCTACTATATAAAATTCAATATGAGGCAAAGATGACCTATGGAGACTGAGGTTAGAATTCTGAGTACCTTTGGGAAGTTGATATTGATTAGGAAGGGGCTTGAGGAAGGCTCTGGAGTGGTGGGAAGGGTCAACATCTTGATCTGGGTGATGGTCATGCACAGTTATGTGTGAATTCACTGAGCACTTGAGATCCGTCCACTCTACTGACCGTAAACTATGCCTCAGTTTTAAAAAGAATTCAAAATCTAATCATGTGCAAGGGGAACAAATTTTGAAGACCCACCTCATAACCCTGTCTCCTAAACAATATGTTTCTAAGCAACACTTGGGCACTCTCTTAAAAACTCTGGTTTATCTACTCCCCTTTTTCTACACCCCAGCTCCAAACCAGAACCCTTGAGAACTGGATTACTCAAACTATTTGTGCAGGTATCAAAGCCTGCTACCTTTATCTTCAGAAGATAATCCCTATCTTCCCTATCTTTAAACGCATTTCACTCACCAACAGAGTTCACTTCGGGCTACCAGCAGTGAGTGGCCTTTTCATTTTTCAGATTGGACCATTTTTCATAGTGCAACTGACATTATGTAGATGGGAGTAAGATGTGACTCATCATGTGGCTTACATAAACTTTCTAATTCAACTTACTTCAAAGGCAGTAGCCTTTAAGACTCAACTTCAGTTCCAACTTTCTATTTTTTTTCCCCTCTATAAAAGGTCTCATAAAGGTTCTTGGCTTTCCACAGTGTGAATATTCACACCAAACACTAGGCTAACTGACTTGACATTCTCAATCATAGGAAGCCCAGCATGACAAAGAACAAGAAGGCAAGAGGTCTGTTTCTAAATTTGAGTATTTGGGAAACTTTTTAGTTAGTGACTTCTCATTACCACTCACAGCATTTGGTTTTAGGGTTTTCTTCTCTTTAAACTAGGGGTTCAATAAAAAACAAAAGCCCAAGAAAATGTTTTTTTAAATAAAACATGGAAAACTTCCTCTAATCTGGCAAAGGAAACCAAACGTTGCTGCAAGTAATTTTAATAAGATTTTTTTTTTAGTTTCGTGTTAATTTATGATTGAGTTCCATGGTAACATTATGGAAAATATCCAGTAAACTGAAAAATCTTCTGCATTAAATGTCATTCTACACTTCTGACATGCACTATAATAATAAGATATGTATCTCTGCTTTTGAAATGCTAACTGGGTTTTTGATACATACACCAGATTTTCCCAAGGGAATATAAACCAATTATTTTTAGCCAGGATTTTATTATGTTCTTTCCACTAAATTTAGTTCAGTGTCAGAATTCACAAAGCATAATGCCTGCATGGTCTTAAGCACTAGATTACCTTTACAGCACACTGCGAAATGCATATTTTGGAAAGTTCCTCCCTTACTCTGGAACTTGTTCACTGGGTGTATGGGATATCAGCAGTTGGACTAGTATGTCAGCACAAGACTAATACCATGCTACTGCATTGACAGAAGATCGTAGTGGTTAAGCATTATGGCGAAGCTATCACAGCAGAAACTTACCATGTATTCATTTCCTTTTACACTTTCCTAAAGGTGTTTATTTTTGATCCTGCTAGATTTGATAAAATAATTTGGCAATTATTAACTGCCAAGACTCCATCAGTATCTTCCCATCTATTCCTGTTTATAGTAAAAACATCCTCCTGCACATTCTGGGCCATCAAGATTTGAAATCCCTTAATGAAATCTATAATCAAACTATGCTTTGCCAGTTTGGACCAATGTAAGAAATGATAAGTAGCAGTCGTCATATATGGTCTTGATTATAAATGGAGGATGGGGATTGCCAAGGAGCAGATCGTATTTCTGAATGATCACTAACACCGACAGTTTTTCTATCCAGGTATCTTTGTCTTGACAAAAAAAAGTGGCCCATTGTAAAAATATCAGAACCACTATTTTTTGATCCGGCTTTCTTATCCCCGAAACATTGTCATACTCAGCTTTACTATGAGTAAGTATGTGCTGAAGAAAACCTAAGAACTTGTTAGGGATACAGATCAAGGAGGCAAATGAAAGGTCTTACTAGTTTTGACGCTGTAGCGTATGACATCCTGGCAGAGCTCCAACAGCCTGTGGGGTGGCTCTCCCGTGTCCCTCATCTCCAAATCAAGAAGTTGTTTCAGCTGTTCAGGGGGCCGCCACTCACAAACCTGGACATTCAGCAATGGCAGTTAATTGAGCTCCCACAGGAGCCAGGTAGCGAGAAGATGTTAGCATCACGGACCCTACCCTCGCGAAGATTCCAGACAAGTGGGAGAGACTGAGATTTAAATGTACAACCCTAGTCCAGGGGGGAAAATATGGGATGGTGACCCAGATGTCACTGGAACAAATGAGGGGCCCCATCTTTGATTTGGAAGGTCAAAGTTTTCCTGGAGGAACTGATTTCAAACCAAGCAAAGATTAGGGGATGGGGGAAGGCAAGCAGGCACTCTAGGTGGAAGGAACAGAGGTCGTAAAGGCTGAAAGGGCAAATCTGAAGAATGAAGTTAGTTTGGTGTGGCTAGAACATGGGGTTGGAGGAAGGAGAGGCAAGAAGTGAGGCTGGAATGCCAAAATAATTTCCTCGCTAGTCTCTCTGCTTGTACCCTTACCCTTGACCTCTACAGGCTATCAACCTGGCAGCCAGAATCCGGAATGATCCTCTTAAATCTAAACTACCGCCGCTCCTCTGCTAAAATATCTCAGTGGCTCACTTCTTTCAAAGTAAAGCCAACATCCTCATAATGACTTCAAATGAACCTGTATAATCTGCTTTCCTTCATGGAGTTTCCTCTCCAGTCTAGTACTGTCTTCCTCCTGGCTGACTCTGCCCCACCACCCTGACCTCCTTGCTGTTCCTTAAACACACCAGGCACACTGCCCTCCTTAGGGTCTTCACACTGGCTGTGCCCTCTGCCTGGATACTCCTGCCCCAAATGTCCTCCTGCCTAACCTCCTCAGTTCTTTCAAAGCTTTGCTCAAAAATCACTTTCTCAAAGATAGCAACCCTGATTCCCCTATAAAGTCACAAGCTTCACATTACCCCAGCCCTATCAGCCCCTCATCTTTTCCTGCTCTTCCTTTTTCCATTACACTTCTCATCTTTCAACATACCATGTGATTCATTTATTCTGTCCCACATAGTCTCCATGAGAGCAGAGATGTCCATCTGTTTGCTCACTGCTCTCAAGTAATGAATACAGTTCCTACCACACAAGAGATGCTCCACAATGATGTGGTGAATGAAAAGATGAATGAGCGAATGAATAAACGAATTAATGAATTAATTAATGAAATGAGACTCAGATCATGACAGATTTCTGTGGCATGTTACAGAGTTTGAACTTGGTTCTAGGGCAGCAGTTGAAATGTTTTGGACAGGGGAATGATATGGACATGTTTGTGTTTTGGCCAATAGCTTTAGTTGCTATATGGAGATTCCAAGTAAAATCGGGAGTAAGAGGTGACTGTAATAAACCAGGCAAGAGAAGGTGGTATTCTGGATGAGGTAGATATTACTGGAATGAAGTATTTCCAGAGATATTTAAAATGCAGAAACAACAGAACTCAGAAATCAATTACACGGCAAGGATGAGGATGAGGAATGAGCCAAGGACAACCCTGTCGTCTGTAGCTTACACACACGGGTTGATGGCGGTGATGAGGAAAAGAATTTGGTTTGGGGTGGGGATTTGGTGGGGATGATGAGCTTTGGGCATATGTAGTCTGAGGCCTCTCAGGACATCTAAAAGGGGTGCAGCAGTTGGTCTGAAGCTCTTGTGAGAGACCAAGAACAGAGTTCCAGACATCCACCATGATAATACACCATGGGGGACACACTCAGAGAGAATCTACCACTAAGAGGAAAGGCACGGGATCTCGCCTGGACACCACCACCGCTTAAGATATGGGCAAAGGGAGAGGAGCTCACTTGTGAGGTGGAGGACAAGCCAGAGAAGCAGGGACTATCTGAGAAGAGTTCAGTGCTACTAAAACAAAGAAAACAGAATGTTTTAAGGAGAAGACGGTCATCACTATCAAATCCTGTTGAGAAGCCCAATTTGATAAAGACTGAGAAGTGCTCATGGGATTTATCGACAAGGAGGTGTTCTTGGCAAGAGCCGTTTGACTTAGAGAGGTGGGAGTGGAGGCCAGATTGCCATGGAGTGAGGGTGTGGGAGGTGAGGAAAGAGAGGGAGGGAAGGAGCATAGACAATCTTTAAAAAGTTCGGCTGTGGAGGGGAAGAGAGAGACAGGGGAGTAGCCAGGAAGTCAGGAGACTAGGAGGTGGGAGGTTAGGGAAAGCAGGAAGAAATAATGAGTTGTACAAGAGGTATGAAATTAAACTCTGATGTGAGAACCATAATAGGCAGAGGTAAATCAAAAGTGACTAAGACAATCCAAAGGAATGACTACTGATAGAGAATATCTCAGAAGATACTGTAGGTTTGGTTCAATAAAGGGAATATTGAAATAAAGTGGGTCAAACAAAGATTTTGGTTTCCCAGTGCATATAAAAGTTATGTTTACCCTGGACCATCAAGTCTATTCGGTGTGCAATAACATTATGTCTAAAAAATTTACATGCCTGAATTAAAAAAAAAAAATACTTGTTGGAAGAGGTCATTAAGAAGAGGTGACCATCAGATGACCTACAAGCTGGACCTGGGCCCTTGGAGGTTCCCCACCCCCTCCCCAGCTCCTGGAATGTGGGTTCTGCTTGTGTCTCCTGCTCCCAGAGGCTTCTCCAAGGACACAGCCTGGAGATAATATTGCTTAAGAGAATATTGTGGCTGGTCTGACCTATCCAGACCACTAAACCTTGCTCCAGATCAGCAATAAGGTTGTTTTACTCCCTATCATTCATGTGTTTGCTGCAGTAGCATTTTTAATTTCCTTCAAGAACTTTTCCTTTTGTAGTCACAATGCAGCTGTTTGGGGCAAAAGGCCTAGCTTTTGGCCCATGTCAACTTTCCAAGTGCCTTCCTCACTAAGCTGCTTCATTCCTAGCTTTTGATTTAAATTGAGAGATGCGCACCTCTTCCTTTCAGATGAACACTTAGAGGCCATTGCAGGGTTATTCATTGGCCTTATTTCAATCTGATTGTGTCTCAGAATAGGGAGACCCAAGGAGAGGGAGAGAGACAGGGGAACTGCCAGTGAGTAGAATAGTCAGAACACACACAATGTTATCAGTACGTTCACTGTCTTATATGGGTGCAGTTTGTGGTCCCTCAAAACAATTACAAGAGTAACATCAGAGATCCCTGGTTATAACAAACTATAAAAAATATTGTTATATTTTATGATATGATGTTATAATATATATAATATGTTCTGTAATATGTTATAATATGTAACAAGTCCAATAATAATGAAAACGTTTAAAATACTGTGAGAATTATCAAAAATTGACACAGAGACACAAAGTGAGCAAATGCTGTTGGAAAAATGGCACCGATAGACTTGCTGGATGCAGAGATGCTACAAACCTCCAAATTGTAAAAATCATACTATTTGCAAAGTGCAAGAAAATGGGAAATGCAGTTAAACGATGTATCCCTGTCTACACAACAACATGATTAAATCTCAAATGCATTTTGCAGAGGGAAAATTGCAAGACTCATAGGGCCTCTTGTGATAGGATTCCACCTGTCCGACATTCTGGAGAAGGCGAAAAATACAGGCACAGAAGACAGATCAACGGCTGTCAGGAGCTAAAGTAAGGGGCAGGGCTGACTATAGAGGGGCACAGGGAAATCTGGGGGTGATGGAACTGCTCTATATCTTGATTGTGGTATAGTTACATGGCTTAGCAAACTCATATGACTCCACACCAAAAAAGGAGCAAATTTTACTAGATGTAAAGTATAACTCAATTTTTTTAAAAAGTGGCTGAGAAAGAATATCTACAAGAGAAGGTGTTAGAAGTAATCATCTCACAAAGTACGGGGATGTATCTGAAGGTCACTTTTCATGGTGCGTGTTGGATCGCTGACAACGCTAGATGAAGTTGGTAGCATAAAAACTCCACCTCCTCCCCCCAACTGCAACATCGTTTTCAACCCAAGTTCAGGTGGATAGCCTGCAGGGCTACTGTACTGCAATCAGCGTGGGGTTCCTTCATTGATGACTTAGGATCTTAAGCCTCTCCTTCTTGTCTTACCTTCCATTAGTCACCTATATGAGCCCTTCCTTCTAGGCAGAAAGTTTCCTTTTGCAATGCTCTTTCCATCCTTTACCATCCTGCTTTCCTCAACACACATGGGTCAACTTCTCCCTGCCCATCAAAATCTTACTTGACCTTCACATCCCACATCAAAGCTCAGAGCACCCACTCCTCTACGAAATCACACCCATTTATCACATTCTTACTGGGACCCCCTGTTCTCTTTTTCAATGAAAACTTATCCTCCCAACTAGACTGTAAATTCTGTTCAAAGCTGAGCCTTTGTCTTATTTGTCTTTATATCCCCCAGGGCCAAATACAATGGCTTACCCATAGCTAACGCTCAGTTAATATTTAATGACTGAATAAAGTCCAATTAAAAAAGAAAAAAAGCTTACCAGAAAAGCAGTAAGCTCCAAAGTAAAGCAGGTCCAAAATATTTCACAAGTACAGATAAGACCAGAAAATATGCAATTATAAATATATATCAAGAAATACCATCAGTGATTTTTGCCTTGAATATAGCTATTCTAAATTTACAGGATATTTTGATCTATATCCCTATTAGTTTTCCCAAATGCATGTGATCAAAAATTCAGAATAAATACCACTTCACATTCAAAATCTTTTTTTTTAAATGACATTTATTTTTGACTAACCGAATTGGAATAAAAATCCCTCCTCTATTTGCTGATAATTCAATTTCAATATGAAAGATAATCAATGTGATAAAGGATAATTTAGCGATTGTAAGAGACATACAAGAGAAGTTAAAGGCCCAGACTGAAGCCAGACTACCTGGATTTTAGTGCCAACAGCTCTGATACTCACTAACATGTGATCTTGGGCAAAGCACTTGACCTCCCTGTGCCTCACTTCTTTCCTCGTCCCTAAAAAAGAGTTAATATATAGCCCCTACTTCTTAGTGTTTTTGTAAGACTTAAGTACACAAATTCATATGGAGTAGTCCTGAGAACATCATCTGGCACATAGTAAGTACTCTTAAGAGTAGAAGTCATTTGGGGCAACTGGGTGGCTCAGTCGGTTAAGCGTCCCCCTTCGGTTCAGTTCATGATCTCAGGGTCCTGGGATTGAGCCGCATATCGGGCTCCCTGCTGAGCGGGGAGCCTGCTTCGTCTTCTGCCTCTCCCTGCCACTCCCCCTTTCTTGTGCTCTCTCTCTCTCTCAAGTAAATAAATAAAATCTTTTAAAAAAAGTAGAAGTCGTTAGTAATAATTGCATTATCAGTTTGAATCTGAACTTGAGCCTGAATTTGAGACCTAGAACCAGTAATTGGTGCCAGTCAGAAATCAGACTTAACAATTCAAGTTTTCCAGTCTAAGCTCAGACCAGCTCCTGGGAAGGATCCTCAGATAAATTTAAAATTTTTTCATACTCTTAGCTTTGTGCAGTGGCAGTATCATAGCCAATGAGGTTTATCCGAGGCGCGATTATTGCTAATTAAAATTTTTTCATACTCTTTCCCACATTATGCTTATTTTTTACTAGTAACAAAAAGAAGGTGCCCAAGAAAATGGAGAGCAGAGTATGTTTCAGAGAGTGTATACATCAAGATCATCCACTTATTTATAATCTATATGGTTATAGGTCAGAAGGCTTCATCCCTGTGCTTCATGCCCTCAAGGCCTGGGGTCTCAGCCAGTCTCCCAACAAATGGTGGCTGGCAAAGTTAACAGCCAACACCTCCAGGAAAGCTGATACTGGGTGGGATCCCACTTTGGCAGCTGGGATCCCCTTGATACAAAGGTATAGAGGCCATCATAGCATGAGCTTCCCATTTCCCTCACATCTAACCATCAAATTTGGAAAGAACCTATCTTTCCCATTGCAGGGGTTTCTAATAGGTATCTTTTAGTTTTACCTTCTCATTGACATCTGTAGCCTTCAAAACCACCTCTTCCATTATTAGCTTCCAGGCCTCTTCAACAAACTTTTCTCCTGCTCTTGCATCTGTCGTGGGGCCATTCAGTACAACCCCATCCACGAGAACAGCGCTCTTCTTACTTGGAATCATCTCTTGTGGATGCGTATCTCCTGAAAGCACACACAAAAAATCATGTTTGAGACATAATCTAATTAGATCACAACAAAGCACAAGGGGAAACATGGACCACTATCCCAGCTTCAAATGGCATATCTTCTTTTAATACATTTGGGGCATTGAAGCAGACAGTTGTTTATGGTTTCCGATGGCATCATAGGGTTAAGGAAAGATATCCTGCAGCATCTTGTTTGGCATCAGCGATTGTGGAGAAAATGTAAATGTGAAATGTAAATTCAACTCATTTTACTCATTCTTGCAAACACCTTTCAATCCCACGCACAGAAAGATCATTGTAGACACAAGCCTGTGTCTATTTTGTACACACACACTTTTTGTAACCCGTTAAGGACTGCCATCTATCCACTTTGTAGGAATAAGTCATTCCTAAAGAAGAAAAAATTATTGACATATCACCTCTCTTAATTTTACATTTTAAGCTCATGTTTAAATGGCCCTTTATATCAAAGACACTGGTTTGTCCCTGAGAGCCCCTCTGTCCACGTACTCAGCCACTCTCCTATGAATGGAGAATAAAAGAAAGTGAGTGGCGTGATGGTTGGTGTAAATCCACATTTGATGCCCTCAAACTTTTCAAACTTGCAGTCTGGCACAGGCAGAAGGATGGAACAGAACAGTCCTAAAGACGTTTGCCAGTCAGTGACTAAAGGTTAAAAGTCAACATGGAAATCTGTATCTGAGAAGAAAGATTACTGCCTACCCAAAATAGCCCTCTCCAAAAATAATTCTGGCAAATGAATCTAAATATTCCACCAATACCTGCCACAAGCTTGGATTCGATTTTATTTTTCTTGAATCAGTGTCTCTCTCTCCTCCCGGTAAGGTACATACATGTTCATTGAGTTGTGGAAATTTACAGAAACAGTTTTTTAAAAACTATCTTTCAGCACCACACCCAGCACAGTGCATTACTTAGATTTTGCAAATCTACCTTAAATATGCTGATGGTCCATAGGTATTTCAAATATTTTTATGCTTACCGAGGGCTCTAGCAGTATTAACATTTATTATCCCCCAAGTCGGTCTTTTCCTCAAAAGAATATGTTTTGGTAAAATTCTGTGGCTTTATAAACCCTTTGCTTCTATTCCTGGCAAACTCAAATGGTGTCCATGGAGGCAGATAAATACGGCACAGCCTGATTCCCCAGTTTGGGAAAGACAGGGTCTGCAGCGAAGGATCAATCTTTTATTCTCACCCTGAAGGCTGAACCATCCAGAACTCCAATGATGAATTTTAGTTCCATCCTTCACTTTTACTTATCTTTCACTTGAAAGGATGCATTCAATATGGTTTAGGGCCAAATGGTGAAGCCTTGGAATTGAGCTTTTAGATGGAAAAACTGTAAATCTAAAGGCACTTTCCTCCCCTGAATTTTAATCCTAAAAATAAACTGGAAAAAGAGGGCAATTATTCAGGGAACCCTGGTTATGCCAGTAGGCAGCGCTATTATTAGGCGTACAGAAAAAGTTAGTTTTCTTAACCTCATTAGTAGAATTTCAGGTTTTTATTGTTCAGGGAGTAGCAGCCACTCTATAGCTCTCTCAGAGTTCTCTCTCTCTCTCTCTCTCTCTCTCTCACACACACACTAAAAAATGTCAAACACCCACTTGCAACCAGAAAAGCAGTGAAATTGAAATTTAAGTCATCTTTGTCTCCACGGCAATCAATTTAAGAAATCCCCATATTTCATGCAATTATCTATGAGAAAATACAATAAAAAACTGAAGAATTGGATATAGATAATGCCACTTTCCTTGATAGATACGTTCTATTTCTATTGCCAGATGTAATAATGTGCCTCTTTCTCCCCCTGCCTTTTCCCAGGTTGGAAAAGAGATTGTTTCTCAATCTCCTCTGGAGATTGTTTAGTAGGCCAAACTATAACCTTCTGGGATCCATACCCAGGACTTCCAATCCAACTGCTACAGTATATGGTGGTTAATAATGAAGTTGTTCAATGGGAAGAATCTTCCATGAAGGATATATCCAGAATCTGTTTTTCATTACCCACTCCCCTACCTCCTTAGTCCAAACCACCATCAAATGCAAAACCAGTGACCACCATGTGACAGATCATATATACTTATTCATTTCTTTGTCTAAGCATCTGTCTCTCCAGTAGAGGTTTGGCTCTCTAATAGTGTAAGCTTGTGTCTATTGGTTTCCTTTTTGTTTCTGTAGCACCCAGAATGTGCCTAGCACTTTATAGGAGTTCGACAAAAAATTGTTGGCTACTCAAAAATTCCTTCAACCAATGAGTGATAATGTCCCCCTTCTCTGAGATGCCATTGCAGGTTAGCTGACCTAACTGAGCAGGAGACACCTTTGGCTAGGGATGAGCTAGATGTAGAGTACAATTCATATAATTCATGGCCTAGAGAAGACACAGTAGAGACCAGAAGAACCAGGGAACAGGGTCAACAGGGAAAGCTGAGTTGTGGTCTCTGGACTGTGAAAGGAAACTACAAATAAAGACTCTCACTTTCCTCTCCTCTCTATACTTTTTGCTGCAGCCACTCACTTTCTATGCTCTCTCCTTCCCTTTCTTGTAGGCATTTGACTTCTGAAAGTCAGCCCATCAAGCCTCACCCTAGGAACCACACTTCCAAATGTGAAAGGCAGTCAACCTCCAAACTCTGACTTCTGAATTTCCACCAATTCCTCAACCCTGTGCCTTCCAAAGCTCTGTATAAGTTCAACTTTTGCTTTACTCAAAGAGATGTATGGATTTCCTTGTTGAACAAACAATAAATTCAACTTCAAATATTGTTTCAGATTTTGAGCAGTGGCCTCTTCTTTTGACATAGGATTAAGTGAATTAACACAGATTAAAAACGTAAAGCAGCACCTGCTACATAGTGGGCACTCAATAAATGTCATTAGAATTTTAGTTAGCAGTAACAGGCAATCAGTACTACTTATTACATACAGAAGTGCATAAAGCATAAGTGAAACTCCATGTGATAGAAAACTATGACAGTAGAAAAAGAGGTCTCTTCAGAGTGGTCAAATGACCCGGATAATGAACTCTAGACCAAAGGGCCAGTGAGTATACCCCCTGTGGAAGAGTAGAAAGAGAGGCCACAGTGTAGGGGATTGCCCCTGTGAAGAGAGCAAAATTTCCTGCCAAGATGTTCAGGACACAAGATGGTGGTCACAAGCAGTTCAGCTCCCACTGGGTGGACGGTTTTCCAGACCTCCCTCCTTGTCATGTTCCACCTTGACCATGGTTTCTGTGTCTTATTTCTTGCACCAGACTATAAAGTCTTACAGGAAAAGGATGCATGTCTCATTTTTCTGGACATCCCAGAAATCTGTTCGGCAGCTGGCATGTGTAGGCACTCAACAACTCTAAGGACCGCCTGGCTAATGGCAGAGGTATCTGGGAAATTATCCTATCTAACCCCTTCACACAATCCAAAGATTCCCCTATACAACCCAGTGGCCAAGATGTCAGGTAAGCTGAGTTCTAGTCTCACTTGATCTCTCCTAAGCATCCTGATCCTGGGATAATACAACCTCTCTGTGCCTCAGTTTCCTTATCCATAAAATAAGAGACAATCAAAGGAAAGTACTGGGCTGGCTGCCAGAAAATCGCTAGGAAAGCCAAGTAAGATTCAGATTCCTGATGTGCTACTCAGAAGATTGTGTTCCAGGCTGGGGTCCAGAATATGGAAATTGGCATGCACTCTAACTTCTACCAATAGTACTGAAATACACTGACATGCAGTTGGACTTAGGATTCACTGTTCAGGGTGACCCCCAAAGGTCCTCTCAAATTCTAACATCTTCAATTGTCGAGGCTTTCCCTCTCACCCTTTCGTACTTAGGCATTCATTTCAACAAGCATAGAGCAATCACCTACCACGTGCCACACAACAGTTTAGGGACCAAACACAGGAAGAGGGTCATCTCCTCAAGGATCTCAAAGTCTCATTGGGGAGTTAGGGCCTCAAAATTTACAACAACACAAGACATGTCTTACAGGCTCTGTGCCAGGCTCTGTCCTCCAAGTTTTATAGATTTAACACATTTGATTGTCACAAAAACTCCAGTTAGTTACTCAGTGTTGTGGCTGAGGAAACTGAGACACAGAGATTAGAATTGGCTTGCCCAATGTCATGTTGCTAATAGGAAGTGAAACTGGGGTAAACAACATTGAAGTTCTCTGAAGGAGCAATAAGATGCTGCTTCGCAGGCATCTACGGTTTGTAAGACCATGTTAGGGAGGTAATAATGACCGCAAGATGAAGTAGATTCAACTCCTATCCTTAGTAAAGGACAGCCTCGGAGGATTGAATAACCACACTAGAAGACAGCAGGTGCCAAGTGCCATGAGAATGACACTAATAAGATGTCTGGAACATAAACAGTGCAGACATTTGGGGTTAAGGCTTAGGGTCATAGGAGGAGTTGAGGTATGAGGGAAAACCTCTGAATTAGAAGACTTATCTTCTCTTTGAATATCTGCAGTAATGAATAATAATAATTTTAAAACTTCGTCACTTAAAGTAGCACTCCATTGACAGCTGGGATGGTCACAAAAACTCCTCTTATAATGACTTCAAATATGCATCTGTGTCATTTCCACAGGCTTTTGCAGTAAGTGGGTAGACAAAGCAAGTCTAATTTCTCTTCCATGGGACTCTAGGCCAAATATGGGAAGACTTCTATCAACTCTCATCTAAATTCCTCTCTCTCTCGCTCTCTCTCTCCCTCTCTTTCTTTTTTTCCTAGTTAGAACTGCTCCAGTTTCTTCAATGGTTTGTGATTAGGCCATGGTCACTAGTCTAGGTCAGTTTATTTCTATCTGATAAAATGAGTCCTAACACAAAACTCCAGGTGTGGTATCCCCAGCTCTAAATAGAATGAATCCATATTTCCCATGCTCTGGTCACCACGATTCCATTCATAAGGCTTCCAGTAGCACCCTAATTGATCTCAAAGCTTAAGCTTTGAAGCCAGGCAGAT